AATCTAGACCGCGGTCAATATCGATTTCAGCCAATCAAATTCGTGAATTCGGTAGTTCCCAGTCCTTGTGAGACACAGCCATATAATAAACAGCGATATTGTACAGTTATTTGTACAGTAGAAAACCTGTTTGCTGTACAGGTCGGCGCGCGCATGCAACACTGTCACACTCTCCCTGTTTCACTGATAAATTTATTGACTAAAGCAGTTGGATAATAAATCTCTTATTAGATGTTTTGGTGTGTAGTATCGCTTTATATATCTACTCGTTGCTCGTCAAAATACGGCAAAACTCGTAAAAATATACGGCGATACTACACACCAAAACATCTAATATTAAGATATATATATTTTTATTATAAATATTCACCGCACCACCCCCTCCCCCCCCAAAAAAAATACCAAATTAGCTCTCAATTATTGCAAGTGGAAATCCTTACAAATCCTTACAATTTTTGAGAGCCAGCCACTTTAGAATCAGCCAGCGCAATTCTATAAGTTCTATAAGATTATAAGTTCTACTGATACTACACTATTCTCCACCATCCGCCTTTTTTTGCTATATTTGGGTTTCCAGACGTCCATATACACTGTTCCTCGACAGTAGTATAAAAGCGATCAGATGTCGCCCATTGTACTAAGAGCTATTAAAGGTGGATGTTACTGTGACAGTGTAATTGTTGTAGTTGAAATAAATTAACTTGAAGTTGGAATAAATGTACACATCATAGATGATTTCACTGAACAAGTAAATTAAGTTATATCCTACCGTAATAGTAGTCAATTCGACTTCTGTTAAAGTCCGACGTGAACCATATCTCAAAGGGTTCCACTATGTTACTGTGTGGAAGAAAAAGTCTTCCCGTGGCGTGGTAGTTTGTAGGAAACTTAATTTCAGTATGTCCGGTTATATTCTTCTTTTCAAGCGATCTCCCCGAGAGTATTAGGTCCGAATTACCACCATAACGTTGGTACATCCCTGTAGTAAACAAACACAACACTACCAGCGCTGCCAAGCTTGGTATTATCGCGGCCCTTTCCAAAGCCATTTCGCTCGCAAAAAGACAGTTTGCTTTGAAGATAACGTAAGGAAATTTTCAGCATCTGTCCTTGTTGTTAGAGCGAACCCACAAAGCAAAATTTTTCGATTTTGCGCGAGTCAGGTTTGGCTAGCCATGAGCAGGATACTATTTTAAGAAAATGACGGTTGTTCTACGATTCGTGGCGTTTTTGAACATCGAATAGCAACAGATAGCAACCCATAGACGTGGAGTAGAGGAGAAAACGTCCGCTAAAACCCTAGTTTTCCCATGGCAGGGAATGATTTTACAGTCTGTTATTATTCTTGAGTGTTTTCTAACATTCAGTGTCGTTACGTACAAGTAGAAATCTCTTGTATTAGCCAGACGCAACTGGTATGTAACAGGTGTTGTGTCACTATTATAAACGCCCATCGCAAGCCTTTGAGCAGAGCAGGCTCTTCGGGGGGAAAGAAAGCGTAAGCTAGCACATCTCAGAAGTTCTGGTAATAAAATGTAGATACTAATGACGAGAATCGTTGAGTCGGGATTAACAAAAAATGTCAGTATTAGGGTATTAAGAGTAACTTCCCTAAGGGTTCTTTTACTTCCGGTTAGGTTTCTTTACGTTAGTTACCATGGCACCTCGACCATAATGGTAAATGAGCAAAACAGCATGGACAACAAGCAGAAGTGGACTGTCCTCGAATTTTTACCGCTGTAAACGGAAACTCATTTTTATATTATTCCTATATTTAGCTGTCTTTTACTACGCACACAACCGGGTGTTCAAACAGGTTTTTCATTTACTCTTACTTTTCTACATCAGACATCTACATTTACTGACTGATTCAGTTGAAACTATATACAGTTATCACGCCCGTTAAGTTTCTTATTCTGCCTGACAGTTGAATCAGATCGACTCTTCTTGCGCCCCCCCCCTCGCCCCAGCACAAGATCTACTCACTTGAATTTGACAAATTCGCTCTTTCATTGACAATCAGTCCCTGATTTATTTCTTGCGTTCAACGGCGGACAATACTAATTAAACAACTTAGTTATTCAGTCTTAGATTGAATGCTTTCATCTTATGAAGTGTGCGAAAGTGTGTGAAAGCGGAGCGGAAATAGCTCATTTTCGAGTCAAAGTGAGAAAACGTTGTAATTTGACAAAAAGCTGACGGTGAGGAAACTGTCAACAATGTATTTTTTCATTAAAAGGTGAGACGAGGTAACTCAGGTAGACTTACTCCCGGGGGGAACTCCCATGATGCATGTAAAAGGTAGGAGGTGCTACTAGCCAGTACTAGGGAGGTAGTGCAAGGGTGGTCTAGACTGTTCAGGGATAAAACTGCTTTCAGAAGGTATTGGTCTCCCGCTCTTTGACATGGAAGTTGCCCCCGGATCGGCCACGAGCTGTCACGTATTGCCCGCCTGCGCGCGATGCGTGACAAAACCCATAGTCAAGAAGAGCAAAGACTGGGCCGAGTAACAACATTGGTAGGAGGCGCCATTTTGGTTTCTTAATCTTTTAGGATCAGCTTCTCGACAGCAAATCTGTTTCCATCGGGATCTCTAAAGTGAGTTTTGCCTAATTTCCAAACGAGCAAGGTTGGATGATAGTAATGTGAGCTTTTGATCGTATATTTTTCATATGTGTGCACTGTTTACGTGAACTATTGAAGGTGTTTGTACGCATTAATACTGAGCTTCTGTAATCCAGGAAATAATTCTAATATTCTTCTACTGTGCTGGTGTAATGATCCACTGTTGCTTCATGTTTAGAATGGATAGTAAGCTTATTGTGTTCCCTACAAAAAGTAGAACTGATACATCTTTCGTGGACTTACCCGACATAAATTGGTATATTTGTAATGCAAGAACGACCACCGCCTACTAGTGTAAGCTTTGTAATATTGAACATAGCTAGAATGCACTGATCAGCTACCTAGTTTTCTTCCATTCTAAACAATAAAATTTTCTGGAACATAAAATTTTCACGAACAACTATCAGCCTATAGACACTCAACAGGAAAACGCTTGTGCAAGCTAAGTGTAACTTGAAAAGGCTGTGGAAACTCGCAGCGTTTCCTGTTGTCTCTGAGTTTTTCTATTTCTTTTCTTTTCTTTTTTTTTGTTTTATTTGGGAAGAGCCCTAGAATGGTGCTCAGGGCACTTTCAGGCTTTCTTGCTGTCCATGTTTTTTTGCTTTTTTCCAATCACTTATTTTTATTAGCTGTTAGATATTAAACTACTGAATACATGTAGTTTCATACCTGCCAACTCTCCCAGTTTTTCCCGGAGTCTCCAAGTTTTTCATCAGATCTCCTGGTCTCAGCACCAAATCCCCAGGGAGATACCTACCATGGCTTTTTTCAACATTTTTTCATTAATTGCATCATTTTCAAGATTTCAAAAAGGCAAATGAAACAAGAAGTGGATTTAGTGCTCTTATTTGAGCTGTTCTTGATCGGAAAATGTAAAACAGAACAATCAAATTGATATATATTTAACAAGTATCATAATTGGTCAGAAATCTTGACCAATCAAATTGCACAATACATGGTAGAAAGTTGACGTGGTTTTCGCACACAGTTTACATCAGTCAATGTGAAGATGGCCAGCATGGATTTTGGTTCACTGCAAAAAGAATTCTAAGGTGCCCTTTCTAGATGTCTCCAGATTTTTGTACTCTGGGGATTGGCAGGTATATGTACATGTAGTTTCATGTATTTTATGCAAAATAGATTCTAATCAAGTTTTCGTGACAGGCATAATGACTGATTCCAAGTACTTTACAACGACCAAAAAAGGTTAGTGATTACCTTACATTTTGTCTTCTCACAAAGTCTTCTTCCTGTCTTTCCTCTACTACCTCCTATGGTCTTCCAGCCCCTTCACTCCTTACCATCCTCTCCATAGGGAGTTATCACATTGCATTCATCTTTCAGGGGAGATTTTTGAGCTCAAGGCTGAGCTGAACAGTGATAAAAAAGATCGCAAGAAGGAAGCAGTGAAGAAAGTAATTGCCAGTATGACTGTTGGAAAGGATGTCAGGTGAGGAAGCATGGTGGCGGATGGATCAGTGTCACTTCCCCCAACTACTTACCAGATATTTCTTGTATTAAATGTTACTGCGGAAAGTTTGGAATCTCATCAACTGACAGCAGCGTCAGCTGAAGGCAAAATTTATTTCCTTAGTAGTTATTTGCTATTGTTCAGATTGCTTACATCCTGCCGTGAGACATTTAGGAAGGAATTACCCTGTATGCGCACCTTACTTGCATGTAGTCATCTCTTTATGGACCA